CTCCTCCTTGTCCCCTGCTGCCGAGGGCTGTTTGTCACCCCCGGATGCTTTACTGGGTGCTGCAGCAGCTTCAGTTCCTGATGGGAAGAGCCCCCACACGAGCTTAGACCAGCTCCAAGCAGGCTGGGAAAGCACAGGCTCAACACAGAGCTCTGGAATATTCCCCCCTCCCACCCCCCCAATATTCCCCCCTCCCACCCCCCCAGTTTATCTTCCCCATGAACTCACCCTCTTTTTTGGAACCTTTGTTCTTCTTGTTCTTGACCTTCTCCTTTGGTTTCTCCCCCCGGGTTTCAATCATACACTTGACAGTCTTCTGGGATTTCAGAGACTGCTCAAACGTCTTCATTACCGTGGGAGCTCGGACTCTGCTGCTCTCCTCTGCATCCCTGTGGGAAGGTGACCCATTAGCCTGGATTCCAGCTCTTTTTCCCCCTCCCAACTCTGCTCAAAACAGAAATTTAACACAAAAACCAGGCTGTGGTACCGGAGGAGGCGCATGAAGTCATCTTTAAAATCAAAGGTGCCATTTAGGAGGCCCAGGGCCCCTTTCTGCTGGAACTCGTTGCGGTACTTGTCTCTGAACTCCTTGTGGACATCGTCTATCAACTTGTCCACGTAGGTTAGAGTCAGGATCTTCTGGAAACCCACCTGCCAAGGGGCACAGCCAACAGACACTGCACTCCCAGCTCATTTAACAGCAGCAAGGGAGCAAAAACCTCTCTGTTTAACTCAGAGTAGGCAAGCTCCAGGCTGCGCTTTCTGCTCCGCTTTCCCAAGCCTTTAAAATGCCCCCAAAAAGGTAAAAACCAGCCCAAAGGCAGCACCAACACACACAGGCTGTCTTGTGGCAACAAAGACACGTAGCACAAGGGCAGAGAACCTTTTGTTTATCTCTAAGTCCACAGGGAAGCTTTTGTGGATTTATGGAGATAAGGAGCGGGGAGACTGAAAGGGAGAGCGTTAAATGCTCTGTAAAGAGAAGGGGGCAACACATTTCTGGGGTTATTTTTAAATAGCTCTGGAAAAAGTGAAGTTTCATGAGGCTGCAGGTTCTATTTGAGGTTTGGTTAGTTTTAATCCTGTTGCAGACGATTAAAATAAGCTACTCCCACAGCGGTGAAGGGCTGGGAACACTTGTGCCCACCCTCCATGGGGAGCCTGGCTGTGCTGGGGGCACTGCTCAGCCCCTCTGAGACCCTCCCACAGCCAGGAATGGCAAGACCCTCACCATACCCCCCAAAATCCCAGAGCCAGAGGAACCAACCAGTCCGGGAGCCGAGGTCCAGCCCCAGGCAGTGGGAACAGCTGTTTGCCCAAACCACAACACACTGGGAATTCTCCCCTCTCTGTTCTGGGACAATCCCCCTCCCTCAGGTCTTGGGGCACCCCAAGAGGCTGGAGGGACTCCCCTGCCATGCTGGGGGTGCCTGAGGGAGGGTCTCTTACCACAAACACCAGCTCAAACTGGTTGTCCAGTTTGTACTTGAGCGTGAGGGCCTCATGGGTGAAGGAGTTGTTGCCTCCTCGCTCCTGGGGGAGAGGAGCTGTCAGAATGGGGGTGCCAGCAGCATGGAGACCCCCCCTCATTATCCCTGCCACCCCCCCTCCTCAAAAGTGGTCCACAGCATCCCTTACAGGTGATCCCACAGCCCCCTGGGCAGGTGGCCCCATCCTTCCCCCTCAACTGGCTGATGCCACCGACCCCCAGAGGTGATTGTGCCCATGTCCCCCTCCAGACAGGTGGTCCCACCTGTTCCTCCCTCAGTCCAACAGGTAGGTGGTCCTAGTCCCTGCCCCCTCTTCCCCCCTCACCAGTTTTGTGGGCTCACCTGAACCCCCTCTCCCCACTTAGGTGGTCCCCCCAAATCACCCTCCCCAATTATGTGCTCTCACTCCTCCCCCTGCCCCAGGTGGGTGGTCCCAGTTCCCTCCCCCACAACCAAGTACACGTTCTCTCTTATTCTCCCTCTTCCCAGATGGTCCCAACCCCATCACCCTCTCCATAGGTGATCCCACCCCCCCCATCAGACCACTGGTCTCACCCATTCCCCCCCCAGTTAGGTGGTCCCAGTCCCTGTCCACTCCCCCCCTCCCAGCTGTGTGGGCTCCTCTGGCCCTCTCCCCCCCAGTTAGGTGGTCCCACCTCATCACCGTCCCCAGTGAGGTGGTCCCAACAC